GGAAGAAAAGAAACACCAAAACACAAACAGAAACACACGAAAAAGACTGGCTCCCATCATCACTGGCTTCGAATCAAAACAGCACTCAACAGCCCCAGGGGTTCACCTCACAGAGGAAAGAAAGGTCCTTCTGAGAAATAAACACTCGGAAAACCAGCAGAGAGACCACCTCACCCCTGGCACTCAGCCCTCCACCAAGCCCCCCAGACCCAGAAATAAAGACTTGCCATGATCCCTCCCCACTCACTCCTAGGAGAAGACGCAGAATTCCCGCTTGCATGGAAACATTCCCATCAATGGAGAATAAGCGGATGCAGATGACTGGCCAACAAAACTCCTCCCTGGTGACACGGGTGGCCTGTTCACCCCCGTTTCCTGTGCCCCTAATCCAGATGTCCACAGAGGTGTGCCCTCTCTGCCCGCAGTCAGCTCAGAAGGCTCTGGCTGTGTAGAAACACTCAGCTCTCACCCGCCACCCCAAGCCCATGAGGCCTTGATTGAACCTGAGGGTGTGGGGTACAGAAGCCCAGAGTCCCCCCACCCCAGCTCACGCTGCAAGAACCAAGCTCCACCTCCAGAAGTGAGGTGATGCCTCACCCCCCCACCCACCCCTAGGGCTGGCAAAGGATGATGGTTCAGGTGAGAGAGCCTGCCCAGGACCCAGATGCTGGTCCAGACTCCAAGCCCAGCTTGAAAGGGGGCAGCTGCCTGACTTCCGGGCTTGTGAGGTCGACTCAGGCCAGCGTCCCTTCAGCCTCTGCATGCACACAGGCCCTGGGTCGGCATTCCCACAGTCAACGAGTCTGGCCAGGCCGGCCCACCGAAAGCAGTGGTGTGCCCCCAGAGTGAGCACCTGACAGATACTGGTGAGCTGGTGTGAGCAGCTTGGTGCATACACCCCACACCCAGCAGCTGAGCAGGTGCCAGGGGTGTGATCCCCCACTGTGTCCAAAGAGGGGTCAGGTTCCAGGCTGGCATGTGCACCATGGGGGGGTCCCCAGATTCAGAGACCCTTGCTTTGCCACAGGAAGCCGAGCCAGGCCTGCCAGCTCTGGTACAAAACAGGGACCCCCAACCCGCGTTATACGAACTAGGAAGGAGCATGTCTCTGGGGGCTGCTGGTGGGGCTGGGGCTGCGCCTGGGGCTGGGGCAAAACTCCAGGGGCAGGAGGGGAACACATTTCACCCTGTGAGACCCTTTCAGAAACACCCCCAGAAGGTCACTACATTTGATCACTCAATTTCAGGACAAATAACCAAAGAGGCCTGCTCAAATTTCCTGGAAGCGAAATGAAGAGGATAGGGGGCCCCGGACCTTCTGGGCATAGGTTCTGAGAGGTGGGTCCCTCTGCAAAGTGCTCACTCCTACACCAAGGAAGGGGTTATCCAAGCAGTGACAGGGGTCTAACCCCCACCCCCACCCCAACCCACAGCACTCTTTTTGTGCTAACTTTTGCTAGGAGCTGAAAACATTACAGAGCAGGAGCCTGAGTCCTCCGCTGGCCTCGCAGGGTACACTTCGGGGTGCAGGGGGCGGGGGCTGGCAAAGCCCAGGGCTGAGGTGAGCATAGTTTCCTAGTCCTGCTCGTGGGGGTCATCCTCCAAAGGGCAGGGCCCCAAGGGAGGCAGCCACCCTGGGGAGGGGGAGAGCAGAACGCACCTCCAGAGTGCCCGGGCAAGAGGGGTGAGTGGTTTCTGGGGCTGCAAACCGCCACCCCCAGCCTCAGAGCTCTCAGCAGGGAACAAAGGCAAGGGCGGGGGAGGGGCAGAGAAAGGAGACAGAGAGGGGCTTCGGAACACAGCCTCATTGCCTGGCACAGCCATGGCCAGCGGGCCGTGGAGATCCAACAGGGAAATCTAGGCCCCTGCCCCAGGCCCGTTCTGTGGCTTCAAGAGGAGACAGGGCTTTGCAGACACAGCTTCTGTGGAAGACCACCGTCCCCTACCCCGAGCTCCAGAGCAGGGGCTCCCCCCCCGCCCCCGCACCGTGCCCCCTTCATTTTGCTGAGTTTGACTCTACCGTGTCTTCTGGTCCCCTGTCCTTCCGCCCTTAATCTTTTCTCTGTCTCCCCATCACTTAGGGCTTTCTTTTCGGTTTTCTATTTCTCATCTTCTCTTTCCGCACCTCTCCTTCCTCGTCTCCCAACATCTTTCTTCTGTTCTTCCCCCTTTGCTTCTGCCTCTCCCCACCGTGTCCCCCCCCCCACGTGTCCTGTTGTTGTCGGTTCTATTTCACCCTCCCTTTCTTTCCTCTTCGTAGCTGTTGTCCGCTGTCCCCAGATTGCTCTCCCAAGGCTGCGGGCGAAACCCAGACCCTGCCAAAGCTTCTGCCTGCGTGGGGGACCTTGCCCTGGAGAATGGGCCTCCAAACCTGCTCAACCAGGGGCTCTCCCCACACGACCCCAGAGCCCACCACAGACACAGGAGGAGGGCGGCCCAGAAAGGGCGCCAAGGAACCCTAAGTCCCGGAGCAAATGCGACGGGAGGAAGCCGGGCCCCACCACCCAGGCCACCCCTCCCCACGCCCCACTCACTGTCAGGGCTAAGGCCGCCTCCGTAGCCTCCGTGCGACCGCGAGTACCAGCGCGCGGCGCCGCCGCAGCCCAGCGCGTACGGCGGCCCGGTCTCCCCGCTCGGCCCGGAGCCCGCGCGCAGCTGTCTCCGCCGCTGCAGCCGCCGCCGCCTCGCCCGCTCCGCGTCCTCGTCCTCCGGATCGTCGTCGTCGTCCTCTTCCTCCTCGCGGCCGCCGCCGCCCTGGGCCCCGCGCCCGGCGCCCTTGGCCTCGGCCGCCAGCAGGTTCTCGATGAGGAAGGAGGAGGCGCGGGCCGGCGTGGCGCGCCCGGGCTCCGTCAGCTCGTCCGGCATCGCGGCCGCGGGTCCGTCGGACTCTGCCGGACTCTTCGGGGTTCTGGGCGCCCGGGGCGCGGCCGGTCCCGGTTCCCTCTGGGGACCGTGGCGCGCGACTTTCTGGCGCACGCGCGGACCGGCCCTAGAGCCGCTGCCCGGAGCGCTGGCGTCGGGCCCTGCGGGGCAGGCAGCGGCCTCCTTGCCGGACTGCGATCGGCCAGGAGCGGGTGCGTGCCGACAGCCGGCCGGGCAGCCGCCTCGCTCGCCTTTCCCGTCGCCGCGCCGGTCGCCGCCCGGGCCGGCCCAGCTGGGGGCGGGGAGGGGAGGGGAGGGGCCAGCAGGGGAGGGGCGGCGCGGGCCCGGCGGCCGCCCGGCTCAGCTCGAAGACTCGGCGCGAGCCCCGCTCGCCACCACTGCCCGGAGACACCGCCCGGACCTGGGCGCGCAGGCAGTCTTGCGGCCGAGGGGAAGCGGCCTGGGGCCCAGGCGTGGGGTCACAGCCAGTCCGGCCCCGCGTGATGCATTCCCCGGGCCCGAGCCACCCGCGCCGGGTGGGGGGATGAGGGGCGGGGCCTCGGCCGGGGGCCCACCCATTGGCTGCGGGGCCCCGATGAGAAACAGACTGGCCAATCACTGTCCGGCAAGGACCGTAATTACCTCGTCGCGGGGAGATTGTTGGACGAAGCGTGAGGAACTGTGTGTGTGTGTGTGTGTGTGTGTGTGTGTGCGCGCGCGCGCGCGGGAGCGTGTGTGGTATGTGTATGTGTGCACGTGTGTGTGTGTGTGCGCTTGTATGTGTATTTGTGCTTGCGTATACCGGGGCAGGAAGACCCGGGGCCTTCCTAGAAACCGCAAGAGAATGGGCTGGTCACTTTTTTTTTTAAAGATCCCAGGTGTCAAAGCTGCACAATTAAGGCATATTTTAATATTTACACTTAATGAAATATGCTTTTAATTCCAGAAGTAGGGCTGTAGGACAGAACTCTTCGGTTCTCAGATTCCGTCTCAAAATGTAAGAAAATGCTCTCCCCCACCCCAATCCCATTCCGCAGGACCACGCGTCCGGGGTCACACCCGGCGTCACGCTGAGTTGCGGTGGGGGGCCGTCTCCAGCTCCTCCAGAGGCCCCAGCCTTAGTAGGGAAGCGACAGCCACCACCCCTGGCCTCAGAGGTCTTGGGGGCAGGCCTGACTGTCAGCAGCGGGGAGTCCCCTCCCACGTCTGCCGCGGGAGCGCGGCGACGACAGTGTATCGCGGCCCGCGCCGTTGCCCTCGGCGCTGTGGCCGCTCAGGAGTAAACCTTCTGACGGACTCACCGGGTCGCAGCGCAGACACGCGCGGGCGCAGCCGGCTTCACCCGACGCGGGTTATCGCGGAGAAATACAGCCGCCTCCCAGGGCCAGCCGGCGGCCGCGTGCAACCGAGGGCAGCCCGCAGCCTGGATTTAGTTTTCAGAACAACCACGGTGGAGGGAGCATCAACCCCATTTTCCAGAGGGGAAAACGGAGGCGAGGAGAGACTGTCCCAGACGGTAAGTGGTTCTTGCCAGTCTGGGATTCCGACACTCAGGGCCTAAGATCCTTCTGGTACCGACACTCCCCCCGAAGTCGAACCGGAGCGAAGAGCAGCGGTCGGAGGGCCGGGCGGGGCTGAGGCCTAGCGGAGGGAGGCAGCCGGCCCGTGGCTGGGAAACAAAACAGCGAGTGCCGGGAAGGACCTCTGGTGCCCTGCGGCCTGGAGACCTCGCGTCTTTTATGCAGGCTCCAGGGCCGTCTCCCCGACCCTCATGTCCCGCCGCCCAGGAGGGGCTGCGATGACCAACCACAGGCACGCACTTCGTTGTTTAACCCCATTGCCTGGGTGAGGACCCAGAGCCAAAGTGGGCGAGCCTGGGTCTCAGGGAAGAGCTGTGGTCCCCCACTCCCTGCTCCCTGGGGCGCCCGTGGTCTGGGAGACGCCAGGGCAAAGAGGTCCCCAGCCAGAGGAGGGTGGCCAAGGGGAGAAACGACTGCCCCCTCTGTCTGTTTGAGAGAGACGCACTATTCTTCTAACCCCACCATCGAATTCGAGGGGCTTCTGAGAGATGGAGAAACTGAGGCCAAAGAGAGACCTGGAGGAAACGACACGGGAGAGGAAGATGCCCCCCAGGTGCCCTCCTGCCCTACACGGGTTTCCCTGGGCCTGGCTGTCAGTGGCGCCGGAGCGCACAGATTTTGAGACCAAGAGCCGGCTGTCACTTCCGCGGTTTCCTAGCACCTTCAGAAGAGCGGGAGCGGGGGCGGGAGAGAGCGTTCGTCAGAGTCTGGATTTCAATTCTTTGACGCCAGGGCTGAGTGGCCTTGGGCAGGGTGCCTCGCCTCTCTGATCCTGTTTCCTCTCTTGTAAACCTCCGGTGGTAAGTGTCCCTGCCTGTGCCAGGCTGTGGTGAGTGGGGCCGGGGCTCGGGCCACATATTAGGGGGGGCTGCCTGATTTCTTTCCACCGCCTCTGGGGAGCACGCGCGCGGGGGCGGGGTGAGGGGAACCGGGTGGAAGACAGCCGGCCTTTCTCCCAAGCACTGGCCTTCAGGAACTTGAAGCACGCATCCCCTCCGCGGGCCTGGGCGCTGGGTCCCGGCACTGCGGATGCTCCTCCTGGGGGCAGAGCGGGGGTCCCGCGGGGCCTCCGCGGCGAGCGGAGTCGCTGGGTCGGGTAGGGAGGCGTGAAACAGCCGCCCAGGAGCTAACCCAGGCCGCAGCCTCTGTGCTCCATGCGGTCCCGGAGCGGATCCTGCCCCACTTGGAGGGGAGAGGAGCCCGAGCTCGGCGGCGGGGCTTGTGGGCAGAGGCTTGGCGGGCAGGGGCAGAACCGGCTGGCGGCTTCGGTTGATCACACTCAACCCAGGAGGGTATCTTACAGTGGGGTGCTCGCTGGAGCTGGGCTCCAAAGTCTCACAGCCCTGAGCAGGTTTCTGACGCTCCCAGGGAAGTTTCTGGTCACCTTCAGGCAGCGTGCAGAATGGCAGACGAGTGGAGACTCCTCCAGCTCGCAGGCTGACACCTCTGGGTCGGTGGCGTGTCTCTGAGGCACCCCGCACCCCCGAGCCACGGCCGCCCTCCCTTACTGCCCGGTCCACTCTCGCCTTTCCTTATCCTCCGTCCACCACCAGGTCCCCGCTCTGCGGCGGGACCACCGGAAAAGCCTCAGCGACACAGTCTAAGGGGCGCTCTTCTTAACTGGGCACTGAGAACCTGTCACCTCCTAGCCCAGCCCTAGTGTTCAAAGGTGCCGCTTGAACCAGGGGGAGGGAGCTGGTGGGAATAACCCCAAGAACATAGATTAGAAGTCAGCAAGCTGCAGCAGCCACTGCCTGTCGTGTATTTTTTTTTCTCTCTTTTTAAAAAATAATTTTTATTTTTTCATTTATTTTTATTAGTTGGAGGCTAATTATTTTACAATACTGTAGTGGTTTTTGCCATACATTGACATGAATCAGCCATGGATTTACATGTGTTCCCCATCCTGATCCCCCCTCCCGTGTCGTATATTTTTTTAATAAACTTTTTCCTTTCAGAATAATTTTAGAGAATGCCTCTTTACAATTCAGATTTCACCTTGCTTTTGCTTCCTTTCATCCCTCATCCGAATTCCAATTGTCCTCACCTCACTGCATGCCACCCCACATCCCTGCTGTTGGGATGAATCTACAGAAGCGGTATCTACTGTATACCCCCTCCATCTCACAGTTTTATCACCTGAAACTAGGAATTTGATACTGATAAATGTAGCAGTGATTTTCTAACCACCGCAGTCAGAGATGCCTTTGTTCCAGTCACCACGGACCAATCACACATCTCCCCTCAACTCAGGGTGTAAAGCAACCATTTACCAGCGTGATCATGGCATATATGGATTGGAGTGGGTTGTCTCCACTGCATGGGGTCTGGGCCCCAGCTTAGGGGGAGGGGACTTTCCTGAAGGTTACGTGGCTCCTTTATCTGGGAGCTGACGCTGGTGTCAGAGAAGGGACCCCTCTGCCTGGGCTTCCTCACCACACCGTTCTCAGTACCCTGGGTGCGGAGGGCGGGGTGTGTGTGGGAGGGGCATGGAATGTCAAGGGAATTCCGAGCCCTACTCTGCTTTCACGTCACAGCTCCCCCGGGGTGCAAGGGGGAGGGGCTTGCACCCCATCTCTCTGGCCAGAAGATGGATGGTCAGATCATAGGATAAGAAATCCAGGAAGAGACGTGCCCCCAGGATAGCGGGCCCCCTATTAGGGGACTTCGGGGTTGCTGCCAGCTCTCCACTGCTGCGGATCATGTCAGGATGAACAGACCTATGGGCTGGAGAGTCATCTAGGGGTGCATGTTCCCCCCCCCAGCAGCACTCCCGGGGTGTGGATCTACACAGACTCTGGATCACGAGCACTTCAGAAAGACTCTCCAGACTGGCTGTGTCAGTTTCCCTTTCCTCACCTCCCGTGGGCACCTGGTCTTCCTGGACTTTCGTCTGGCTGGCTGGCTTGGTGAAGAGTATAAGAAGGAAACCAGGGTGTTTGGGGTCTTGATTCTCTGGCTTCGAACAGGGTGAGGCTGTTTCCGCTCTTCCGCCAGAGTCGTGGAGATGTGGGGGCAGTGAGGGAGGTCCTGTGTGGCCCCTGATGGGAGGACCTGGGCGGGGTGGAGGGCTGGAGAACAGGGATGCAGTTTGTGCCGGAAAGCTGAAGGATAGGGTTCTTAGTTTGCAAAGTGATGGGGAACCACTGAAGGCTGCTAAGCTGGGGAAGGGCCAGGGCTGGAGCTGGGCGTCAGGACCAGTACCTGAATGCACCAGCTTGTGCAGGACGCAGGGAGACAGTAAGGTCGAAGGGGGTCTTGCCACTGTCCTAGTGGCAAGCAGTGAAGCCTCAGGAGGGCAGTGGCCGTGGAAAGGGTCCACACTCATCTCTGGTGTCCACACGGTGGCCCACAGGCCTGGACAGGGGCGGGCAGGGTGGCGGAGTCTCGGAACGTGCTTATGGGCTTGTCCAAGGGTCCGCT